GTTTTAATAAGGAGTTTTCCTTTTGTTCAGAGAAACTTATTTCTGTGTTCTGGCTGTCCAAGGAAACTGGCGTAGTAATCATTTCCCTAACCAAGCTATTTCCACCAAAAACTTTCCATTTGCACAGTACTATACAGTTTTTAAGTCATATTTTCTGTCATGAATTTTGCTGTCATAGCTTCATTTAGAGTGTAAACTCCTTGAAGACAGAGGGTTTTTTTTTTTTTTGCTAATTTATCTTTTGTACCCCAGAGTTGCTACTGTCAAGACTGTCTGAAAAGTCACGTTGCATTTTTGCATAGCAAAATACATCATGTCTTTTCCAGCATCCCAACATTTGATTCTTACCACAACCCCAAAAGGTAGACAAGGCATCTAGTGCTATCCTTATTTTGCAGAAAAGGAGACAGGTGCTACAAGACATGAAGTGATTTGCTCAGGATCACACGGAGGAATTGGGACAAACGCCCAGGTCATCCCGAAGGGCCACTGCTCTCCCCACTTCCTCTCCTTTCTCAGAACAGAAGGAGACGTTCTGGATGCCGTCTGTCCTGCCTTGGCACAGCAGGGATTCCATCTCATTACTCGTGTGGTAGACCAAGTGAAGTGTCGTTGTCCCTCTCTACATCCCTGGGTCTGGGCACACACATCAAGAATTCCTACCCACAGGAGCTAAGGCTTCCCAGACAAGGAAGAACAGGGAATGGGAGGATAAGCCTGGCCCTGGGAGGAGCTTACATGGCTGAGAAAAGTTGGAGGCTCCTTCCCTCCGACCCAGGCAGCCTCCAGGAGGAGACCCTCTGTTGTGATGGTGTCAGCATTCATCACTGAATTTGTCTCTTTGCCTTGAACCACTGCAGCTAATGCTCCTGGGATATGCTGGCAGAGTTACTGCTGTTAACAATTCTCATTCTGTTAGACATCAGTCAAGCGCAGCTGTGAAGTGCCGACATAAATCCAGTTTTGAATTTCACCTATAAAATAATCAAATGAGAATAAAGCATCATAAAATGGTTTTTTAATAAAGATATTTTAATTTAATCATGTAAAAATCATCTGGATGCAATACATCTAAGTGACGGAGAAATTGCTATATTCTATTACCAGTGCCCTGAGAAAGCCCATGTCTACATAGGTTGATGAATGATTTCCAGTTCCTTGACTATCTCCCATTCTGTTCATTAATTACGGCCTCTACCATTCTTTAAAAATCAACCTAAGTCTGGCGACAGCAGGTGGCATGCTAGTTAAGGTGCTAGACTCCCACATGGCCAACTGTGGTTTGAGTCCCAGACCGGGTGGCTCGCTTTCTCACTTCCCACCTCCATCTGTCTCTGGTGAGTGTGTGTGCCCTGTAGCAAAAATAATAATAACAATAAATAAAATTAAATAATTCTTTTTAAAAAATCAACCTAAATCACCTCCTATGAAAATGTGGTAATGGGACAGTTTATTTATATAGCTTGCATTCATTTATACATGATATTTGGAAAAGTCTAGTGTGATAGGACATGGGTCTAAGTGGCAGATCTAACTTTTAGTTCACAGGTCTGCAAATCACAGGTCTGACATTTTTAAGTCTCCCTCTCCTCATGTGTAAAATGTAGGCCTGGGAATTAAATGGCCTTCCAAATCTATAAACTGTTAAAATGTTCTTCATTTGTTTGATATTTGTCTCTTCCACTTGTCCAACTGGATTATGAACCCCCCAAAGTACAGGGACTGTATCTTCAGCATCTTCAGTGCATCCATCCCCACCTGCTGCCTGACACTGTGCTTGCCCCAGTGGCAACCTTGTCCATGCCAATTGCCTGCCCAACTGATAGCACCTGTGGCAACCAGGAGGTGGCACTTTGGCTTTTCAGCAATAGAAGAACAAACCACAGAATGAGAAATCGCTCTGGCTTTTGCTTTATTGACCAAAGTATTTAGAATATTTAATATCAAAACAACCAGGGAGCTATATTTTTAAATTTAGATGTAATAAATAAAATTAACTTTCACTGGTGGGGCATTGTTGGTATAGGTCTATGAGCATAGATTTGTGTAACTACTACCACAAGCAGGATACAAAGTAGTTCCATCACCCAAAAAAACTTCCCCATATCTGGCCCTGAACCCCCAACCCTGATAGCTACAGGTCTATTGACCATCTTTATAATTGTCTCATCTAGAGAATAATAAATAAATAGAATCATACAGTGTGCAACTTTTTAAATATAGAAAATGTGTGTGCACACATGAAAAAAAAGATGGGACCTGCAGGTGGCGTGATGGTTACGTTGCTGCATTCCCACATAATTGACCACAGTTCAAGTCCTGGACCTGGTGACTAAAAATTCCCACTGGGTGCATGTGCATGCATGCCCAAATCCCAAGAGGAGAATGGAGGAAAACGGATTGCAGGGTGGCCATACTCCGGGGCGGTGGCGGGAGGGTGGTGGTGGTGATTTCTCGTTTTCTGTCTCTCTGGCAAGCCCACATGCCCCATAGCAAAAAGAAAGAAAGAGAGAGAGAGAGAGAGAGAGAAGAAAGAAAGAAGGAAGGAGAGGAAGAAAGAAAGAAGGAGAGGAAGAAAGAAGGAGAAGAAGAAAGAGGTAGAGAGGACGCACCCTTGGTAGAGTCTCATCACACCACACTCACCTTTCCGCAGTCATCCAGCAGTTCAGGATCCTGTGCTTCCATATGTGTTTTTCAGGCCAGTCTGGGTATGTCTTTCAGACCAACCCAGGATTCAAATTGCAATTACCGTATGGCTCCCAGCACTGCAGGGCACTGGTATTACCCTGCACCATAGTAGCTGGGCCATATATAGCATGTAGCCTTTTGAGAGTGGTTGTTTTCACTCAAAATGCCTTTCAGGTTTATCCATGTTATTTCATATCAATCATTTGTATCATTGGTCCATTCCTTTTTATAGCTGAATAGCATTCCATTACAGAGGTGTAGCATAGTTTCTTTATCCATTCACCTGCTGACAGATACTCAGGTTGCTTCCCGTTTGGGGTGATCACACACAGAGCTGCTGTACACAGCCACATGTAAGTTTTTGCAAGAACAGAAGTTCTTATTTGCCTAGAATAAATACCTAAGTGAAGTTGTTAGATCATGTGGTGATTCTATGTTTAAATTTTTTCTTTTTCTTTTTCTTTTTTGTTTTTTTGGAGAGTTTTTGTATAGGGCGTGTGCACCTACCAGAAAGACAGAGAGGCAGAAAGCAAGAAATCACCCCCAGGGGGGATAGCCACGCCACAATCCCTTCTCCGTTCTCCTCTCAGGATCTTGGGTATGCATGCACACGCACCCAGCAGGAGTTTAAGCCACTGGGTCCAAGACTCGTACTGCAGTCAGCTACATGGGAGTCCAGCGACATAGCCATTATGCCAGCCTCCCCAGGGGTGATGGCCACACCACAATCCCTTCTCTTCCATTCTCCTCTTGGGATTTTGGGCATGTACGCACACACACCCGGTCTGAGTTTCAAGCCTTTGTGTCTGGTACTCCAACTATGGTCGACCACATGGGAGTCCAGTGACATAACCATTACACCATCTGCTTGTCCCTATATTTAGCTTTTTGAGTAACTCCCAAATTATTCTCGCTGTGGCTATACCGTTTTTTCATTTCCACCAATAATGTAAGAGAGTTCTAATTGTCCTGTGTCCTCCTCACCAGCATTTGGTATTATATCTTTGTTGTTATTCTGGGGTGGGTTTTTTTTAATTATTTTTTATTTATTTATGTATTTATTTATTTATTTTAGCCAATCTAATGGTTTCGTGGTGATATCTCATTGTAGTTTTTTCCGTAGGGTGTGCACCACCACGCCCAATATCTCACTGTGGCTTTAATTTGCATTTTTGTTGTAGCTGGTGATGTTGGGCATCCTTTCATGTGCATACTTGCCATCCATATACCTTCTCTGGAGAAGTGATTTTAAATCTTTGGCCCATTTTTTTTTGAGTTGCTTACTCTTAATACGTTCAAAGAATCCTTTTTATATTCTGGATATGAGTCTCCTTCACCAGACATATATTTGTAAATATTCTCCCCCAGTCTATGACTAATCTTTGAATTCTCTCACCAGTGTGTTTTCAGAGCAAAAGTGTTAGATCTGTTAAATTCAGTTTATCAACATGCTATAGGGCACATGTGCTTTGCCAAAGAGACACTAAGAGAAAAAGAGGGAAAATGAGAAAGCACTGAGTGGAGTAGCCACACTCCAGCTCCTTCTTCATTCTCCTCTTGGGATTTTGGGCACACACAGGCACATGTGCCAGAGTGTTTCTGAAGCCACTACTGGGTCCTGGACTCAAGCTCTGCAGTTGGCCTTGTGGGATCCAGCAGCCTTAACCACACCACCAGCTGGACCCTTTCTTGAAAGTTTTTAACCTACAAATTTAGTTTCTTCAACAGCTGAAGAACTGTTTCTTATTGGGTGAGTTTTGGTCTGTAGTGATCGTCCCTCTTCCATTTCTGAAATGTTGATAAAATCTCACTTTCTTTTGGGTTAGAGGTGTATCCATTTTATTTATCTCAGGAACAACCATCTCTTCATTTCAGTGATTTTTCTCTATATGGTTTTTCCGTTTCCAATTCATTCATTTCTGCTCTTTATTATTTCTTTCCATCTGCTTGTTCCATGAAATTTAATAAAGGTGAAAGTCATCAATATTACTGAAAAAAAATTATAAAATTTAAGTTGTATTGATTTAATTCTTCTATGAGTGCAACAGAAAGAGTGAGAGAAGAGACAGCATCCCCAACAGGATCTCACCACCATGACTCACCACAACCTGAGGCCAGCCTGGACCATGGGTACATAAGTGCCCAGCATATTCAAGGAGGTCACTGAACTTAAACCAGCAACCCCCCCATGTAGACTGCCTCACAGATCACCACGTTTTACCACCATGCTATCATCTGGCTGGGTAAAATGTATTTTTAATTTAATCTTTGGAGACCTGTGCTAATGATTTTCTATGCGTTGTCTCTTGTAGTTGACTGGTCTGAGTGTCTCCAATGGGAAGGACCAACTTGTAGTGTTCCATACAAAAGACAACAAAGACCTCATTGTTTGCCTCTTCAGTAAACAGCCAACCTACGAGAGTCGAATTGGAGAACTTGTTGGAGTCCTGGTGAATCATTTCAAGAGGTAAAATTCGATTTTTTATAACTAAGACAAGTTTAAATATATGATATCTTTCATTATAATTACCATTGAACTTGGTTTGTGCAACTATTAATGGATTGAATTATTTTCCTGAGTACATTAAAGAGAGAATGTAAATAATGACTATCTAAATATATATCTCTTTCACAAAATGTAAAATTAACACCCAGGCTTAGTTTCAAGGTTTCTCTACTTTACTGGCCTCTCACTGAACCAACAGTGAGAGATTTCCCTAATGGTAACCAGTTAGTGTGTCTGCTATGACTATAAGCAAATGAGAAGGCAGATTTTGGATCTCATGTAGATCCACAAAGACTAAAGGAATTCCTGAGAGAGCCAAAATCACGGAGTCATGTTGGAATACGGCATTTTCTGGGAACTCTGGGGCTTACCTAAATGATATCTGCAATGTGGTAACCAAGATGTAAAACAATAAATAAACAGAACAGATCCTGCAGGTGGTGGGGACCAGTAAATGGATACTTTTAAGCAGAGAAGTGATTTTGTCTGATTATTTATGGGAGTTGTTCTAGAAATGAGGTTTTCCTTCCCAGAAGAGTTCATGGGTGTGCGGAGTGGGTGTGCATCTCCAGAGTCAGATTCCTCTCAGTGTGGCTTACTCTGCCTCCCCCCACACACACACCCCATCACTCCTGATGGTGGGAGAAGACTGCTCTTCAAATTCAGTGATGGAGAAATGATACAAACATCTAGTTCCTTTCTTTTCCTAAAACACATTTCCTAAATCCCCAGAAGTAATTAAGGACTCCTTATTGGTCTTTTTTTTTTTTTTTTTTTTTTTTTTTTAAGTTTAGGTATGGCTTTTCTTTCTCTAAACAAAGACATGTTTAGAACCAGATGTCCACGTTTCTTTCTACCATGTTCATTCGTGCAGATCAATACAGAGTATATTTTAGAGATTGCACAGACTCATTTCTTTTACGTTATTAAATCTTGTATTATAGATCAAAAGGGATCTTTAAGCATTTTATGTAATTACTTTTAAATGTTATAACTAAAATAAACATCTGGCGGGGAAGAATAAAAATTAACTAAGGAAGGAACTACACATTTTTTAAAACAGGTTTTTGAAACTGTCTGCACTCTATGGTAGAGACTGAAAGACTGGCGAACATAAAGTATTAAAAGTTGTAATGGACACTGGAGACAAAGTGGAAAGAGTTTGAGAGGAAAAGAGTGTAGGAAATTTGGGGGGAAATAGAGAGGTAAGACACTTGTGGGACACAGATAAGACTTATTATCTGTTGACGAGGATGTGTATGGTGGTCTCAGCTGGGCTGGTCTGAGTTGTATATCATGCTGGGTAAAGTCTCTTCAGAATCTAAATGATGTATAATGATTTAATGTATGAATAATCATTTTAAAAATATTATTTTTTTAAATGACACAGTCCAAAATAAAAAAGAAAATTTTTCTTTCATCTGCCAAATAATTTTCAAACAAAGAAAAATAATATATAGTTCAGAAGGAAAGGGAAAGACAAGAGATGATATCACTGTAGTAAATATCTAGAACTCAAATAAGCAGACTTATTTTCCTGCTAATATTTAATCACAGCAAAGTATGGACAATTAGAAGACTTTTAATTTATTGTCTTTAATTTGGATACCTGTAGTAATGAATACAGACAGCAATTTTTGCCTGGTAAATTAGAGTATCTAGTTGCGATCTGGGTCCTTCTTTATTAATTTTTCTGTTAAATGCCCTCCTCAGTGGCTCATCAGTTTATGTGAATCTGGTCCTAGAATTCAATTGCTTTTATTTTCTGACACTTACATTCTTTTTTTAAAGAATTAATTATTATTATTATTATTCATTTTTAACTTTATTTTATTTATGTGTTTATTTTAATTTGACCAGAGAGGGACCGAATCGGCCATGTGGGAGTTCAGCACCCTCAACCACCACGCCACCTGCCGGCCTAATTATTATTATTAATTTTTAACTTTCCATAGTGCACATGCACTCACCAGAGAGAGCCAGAGAGAAAGAGAGAACGTAAGAAAGCAATCCACCAGGTCCAGAACTTGAACTATGGTCGGCCATGTAGGAATCCAGCACCTTACCCATCATACCACCTGCTGGCCCCACATTCTGAGATACATTTCTAGGCACATGCATCCTATCTTTAATATGTGTAAAGCATTTTAAATTTCTTTAAGACTTATAAATGTAAGAAAAAGAGTGATGTCAAGATGTTAGATTTTTTTTCAGTTTTTTCTTAATGTCCATATGTTATGAAAACAAGCAGTAAAATTTCTCTCTGCACCTAGAAAATTCAGCATTTTGAATTAAAGTTTTAGTCATCAGCTTAGTATTGGCTTCTTGGGGAAAGGTTAATTTGATTTTTTTCCCCCTAGCTTTTTTTCCTTCATTGTCAAATATGGTATCATTGGTGTGACTTTAAAATTCACATAGTGTTTTACAAGTGTAATAATGTGGAACCTAATCTTATTTTTCCCTGGGTTAATTATGGAAATCCAAAGGTGAGAGGGCTTTAACTCCAGAACAATTCTCTATCATCCAGATAATTTCCCTAAAGTATATTCTGAATAGTTCTGTAATCAGAGTTGAGAGGAAAGAGCTCAGAATTACAAAACAGGAGTCATTGTCTTTAGCAAAAATTATAAAGAGAGAAAATTAGAACTTAAAGTCCATGAGCAAAATTCCAGCCCAGTTTCAGAGAAGAGGGGGAATTAAAAACTTTGGGGGAAAAAAAAGTATCTTGTTTTATTGGACTAGCACCACACTATACCCAAAACAAATAAGGACAGCATGAGGAGCGAAAATTATAGTCCACTCCCACTTGAGTGTAGAAAGTTGTTTTTGAAAATCGAAATACAATGCCCACAAATTAAATCCAAGTGTGTTTTTAAAAATAATGTGTTGTGTGAGACCTGCAGGTGGTGTGGTGGTTAAGAAATTGGAGTCCACATGGCTGACTGCAGTTCAAGTCCCAGACCCTGGGGCTTGAAAACCTTGTGTGGTGATGTGGAGGATGATTTCTCATTTTCCCTTTCTCTTTCTCTCTCTGGCAAATGCATGCACCCTATAATACACTTTTTTTTTTTCATTTAAAAATAATTCATTGTGACAATGAGGCTGTACCCTAATGGTGATCCATTAGAAAATGCTGTTCAGTTCAGCAGTTGGTGTAGTGGTTAAGGCACTGGACTCTCACATGGCTAACCACAGTTCAAGTCCTGGACCTGACACATCTTGCTCTCGTTTTCGCTCTTGCTCTCTCTCTCTCTCTCTCTCTCTCTCTCTCTCTCTCTCTGTGTGTGTGTGTGTGTGTGTGTGTGTGTGTGTGTGTGTGTATGTATCTGATAAGTGTACATGCCCTGTAGCAAATTTAAAAATAATAATAAGTAAAACTAAATAAATCAGTATTTAATAAGAAAGAAAGAAAATACTGTTAATCAGACCAGCAGGTGGTGCGGTGGGTGGGGTGCTAGATTCTCACATGGCTGTCTGCAGGTCGAGTCCCAGACCTGGCAGCACCTGACATATGTGCATACGCCCTATGGCAAAAACCTAAAAAAAAATTTTAAAAAGAAAATGCTATTAATCTCTTTACCAGATTCAAGGAGCAAAGAATTTTGTCTTCCCAATAAAAAACAAAAATACTCTGATAAAATTCAGTACTCACTGCTGATAAATAAATGTACAAAACAAAAGAGTAAATACAGGAATAAGAACAAACAAGACGCAAATTTGCCACTGCCAACCAGAGTCAGTTGAGCAGAAATGATTACAAGGTTACCACCCAGAGGCCTGTGGCCTGAGGGAATCTCTGCCATGTCTCTCTCTGAAGAGGAAGGACATACACAAGCTGAGGAAAGAAGTGGCCTCAAGCAGGGGCCATGACAGTTTGGAGAGCGAACACTGCGAGGCCACAGCCTGCATGGAAACTATAGGGCATCCCTAGTATGATAACCTCATCTTTTTAAGGGCTTCCCATCAGCAAATAGCTGCTGGACACTCAAAGCAGAAAATAAACCAGAAACAGCAAGAGGATTATGCATAGGCAATATGAAAATAAGGAGCAAAGAAAATAAGCAAAGGCTAATGAAGAAGGAGGCTAAAAAATAAGAATGAACTTTAGACATTAAAAAAAAAAAAAAAAAAAGCCCAGGTTCAAATGGAGTGACAAGTACTAGACTTACCTTCCTGCCTTAAATGACAACATGGAGACAAAATACATGAAACAGGCATTTTCAAGAACCTGGAAGTCTGGCAATGAAGGACAGTGACCCCTGAGAGGTCACAAAGTGAGCTCTATGATTACTGAGGGAGCTGCCAGTCACATTACATAAAGGGGGAACCCAGGTGGAGCACGGAAGACTACCCGAGTTGACACTGGAAAGAGAGTCTAGGGAGACCTAGACAGCTAAAGATTACAGGACGAAGTACCAGGGAGGAGAGGGGTGCACGGGGTCTGTGTACTCAGCAGAGCACCGGTGCATGATGAGGGAGGGAGCAGTGCCCAGCTCTCACACAGCCAGGAGCAGCTTCTGTTCTCACAAGGTAGACTAGAGAACTTCGTATTCGCAGGGCACTTGGGTAGAGTCCTCAGAAAGGTTTTGTCTCAGTAGGGGGGATATTGGCCCCAGAATAAATGCCGCTGTAGTCTGCCTAATAAATCTTAAAAGCAGGACCTGAAAGGATCAAACTGCTTCCAAGTAATTTAACTATGTCTTAGAGTGAAGCTCATGAATATTTATAAGGCTACAAAAATATCCATACTCAACAAAGTAAAAATCACAATGCCTGACGTCCAATCAAAGATTACCAAGCATGCAAATAGGCAGGGAAATACAACCCATTATGAGAGGGGAACAATCATCCAGTAATTGAAGCCAACCCAGCACTAACAAAGATGTTAGAATTAGCAGACAAAAACACTAAAAGTTATTATAACAAAATATCAGATGTTTATAACTTAACTAGGGCTATGGAAAA